CGTTTCATCGGGTATTCTTCGAAAAGAAAATAATTTTTTAGAGATCGGTGTCCATTTTATTTGTGATTTGGACTTTAATTGAAATTAATACTCAACGCAATTATCAATGCTTCACTAATGATCTACATCCAGAAGAAAACGTTACTCTTTCCACGAAGCAATTATTACAGAAAGAATCCTCATCGTGAGAGATAACACTAATAAGGTGTGAGAGTATTTAGCAACGCTTTGTTAGCAAGCTGCACAATGCGGACGATGAATCTGTTAAATAAGAAAACGAGGAAGATCACGCTGGTTTCGCTGGACCGTGAGAATGCCTGGTTTGGAAAAAAATAAAACCACCGGGCATTCAGGATGATGATGATGATGATGATGATGATGATGATAATGATTTGGGGCACAAACGAGGCCGAACGAGATGCGGCAGAAGGTTTCTGGAAAAAGGGTTGCGCCTTCTTTCCACCAGACGGAACCGGTCTTTCTTTCCGAATTGATTAAAACTTGTAAGAAGATGAAACGGCAGTCGGCGTTGAATAAATGAATTAGAAACGGGAAAAACCTGATAATTTCGTCGAGAGAAAATTATACCGAGAATCCGCATAGATGCATTTAATAGACCTTGATGGATATATTAATAGATTCGTTGAAACTTGGCGCATGGATCGCGCTTATCCTCTTATTGAAATCTTATATTTCTCTCTACGATACTAATGTAGACGAAGAGAAAATTATGCATTCATGAAACAGGATATTTTGTATCACATTTGGTAACGAACCAAGACGAATATACCGATAAGTAGTACACTATTCAAAACAATTAGGGAATTATTATGTGAATATTAAACCAATTTAAACAAATTAATTTTAATTTTGTAGATAAAATTTAATTTAGCAATAGTAGTGACATAGAGAATCCTAGAAAGTGTAAAAAATTTTCCAAGCTCCAAACTCTACTGCTGTAATCAATGCTACTTCGTGACAAGTAAATCCTGTACTTTGCAATTCACAGAACAACGCTTCACGGAATTTAGTAGTTCCTGCATATTACAGTTTTTTTTCTTTTTTTCCATTAAAATCTGCTTTTGTTCGTACGAAGTCCTTTCTCTGCAATGTTTACGGCAGAGGAGAAAGAAGTCCTGCAGTTAAGTGATGGAAAGGACTTAAAGTGAAATTATATCGATTCTCAAAGAGGCTCATACTTCTATTCACGATGGTGGACGTTCCTCGAGGTAAAACACTTGAAAGCAGAGAATTACCTGGCTCATCTTTCGACTGGCCATAAACTTGTACTATGTTTTTTGGTCAGTGTGGTTTTTTTTCAATGAAAAAAAAAAAAGGTGGAAGGATCATTCTTGCACAGGCTGAAAGGTACGTACACGGCGCGCCTTGTTAAAACCACACGACGAAAGGGTTGCAGGGTGCGATCGGGTCGACAAATGTTCTTTTAAAGCTGCTAAATCGTAGATTACCGTAGTCCCTTTGTAATTGCGGAGACCCTTACGGACATTTAGGATCTTTTACGCCAGATATTTTTGCTTTGAGAGTTATAAATTTTGGTGACTCTCGGTAGAAGACTCGGAAGGACCATTTATTCTTACCGTCCATTCTTGTTGATTTTATTTTCTACCCTTCAAAAAAATTGTTATATGTTTCGATGTAACTGATTTCTATTTAATGAAATGTCATAAATTCAGCACGAAATCCAATGTATGCTATTTATAGTAGTCTGTTGAATACCGGTAGATAACACCTGAGATTTCTTAGAAGCGGAGCAGGTGCCATCTTTAGTAAGTATCCTGAAGCTTGAGAAGGTTACTCAAGATAAATTCGAACAGGCTACCGATAAAGGACCAAAGTGGATAGGTCGGGATTACGATTCATTTTCAATTTTTTTTTTTTTTTTTTTTTGTGAAGCATAGCATAGATGTTGTGTATAATATAACTGATTTTTATGCTTTAGAATTTAGGAATTCCAACAGGCCAGTATCGCTATACTGTCATTTCCAACATTACCGATCCAGTACGAAGTAAAATTATATTCATAATTATAAGTAGTTTAAAGTAACTTAAAATCCCACGCAACGAATATCTTAGTTGCCTAATTACTCCCGAGCTTCAAAGCTAACGATTCCTTTCTATTATAATATTACAAGTTTAATCTGTACTTAGTACTATGTAAGATTTTAATCTATAACTAACTTAACCATGCATCTGTTTAAACCTGGAAACATCCTCCTTAATCATAAATTTAGACATCTTCTCTAACTATAATTTACATGTAATTTACTTTACCTATCAAAAATCTAAATAAATAAATATCTAAATATACTAAATAATCTAAATCTAATAATAATGAAGAAAAATCTACCAGGAATCCAAATACTTATGCTTTAATTCTATTAAAAAATTCTATGAGAAATTCTATAACTTTAATTCTTCAATTAAATAGATGAATCTCAAAACCATTTTGTAATATTTGCCTAATTGCGTTTAGCTACATATTTCCTTTCATTCGTATCGTTTTAAGTTTTCAATAATAATTCTCAAATGATATTAAATATTTTACACATAGCTGATACCTCCAAAAAGTAAATAGATCTGCAACAAACTTGTTTACTGAATTACTATCTAAAAAATTTAGAAACGAATTTAATAGCTACGAAAATATAATCATCAACTATTCAATACAAGCCTAAACAACAAATCGTAAATGGGGTATTTTTCTTATTTCGCAATTCGAAATACAAAATTCTCAAAAAAACGCGATGAATGCAATACTAATTTACTAATAAAAACGAAAAATAAAATAAAATAAAAGTAGAAAAATTATTTACAAAATAAATATTACTTAATGCACCCGAAATTAAATATTTGTAACGAGAAATCGAATGCAAGCTGCTAACATAGAAACATCTGTGTACAACCTTTTCAGCTGCATTAAATTAAAACATAAAATTATATAAACATAATTTAATTGCAGCATTATTTAACATTAATTCTTAAAATGAATTGTATAAATATTACTACTTCTGTAGCAACAAGAAGTTATTTTAATTATTCGCGACAGATAGTACAAATTGCAATGCTATAAAATTAGTTCAAACTCGGTATCTTTTTAAATTCAATTGCAAAAAAAAAAATTCTCACACTACATCTAATGTAATTATTACTTAATGTATTATTCTTGAAGAAACAACAAATATTACGTAAAATCGTGATATTGTATAAAATTTGCAACATTACTTCAATTTGACTTCAATATTTTTTGACAATGTGAAATTAATTAGATCGAAACTCTAGTCTAAACTCAATAATCATTCGCAACACTATTAAAAAAACCACGATTTGCCAAAGATGGTGATAAATGTTCACCAAAAAATAATTATACCTACTAATTATTAAAAGCGAGCACAGTGACAAAGTAATAACAAGAATAACTTTCCACGCTCAGTATAATTTATTACTTTGATCGGTCGAAATCTACCTGTTTCTTTTTGCACAGCAATTTTTATACATTTTTGTGTGGAAAAAATTAAACTTCAACCTTTATCTTATTATTATTATTACTATAATATCATTATTATCATTATTATTTATTTATTAATTATCATATTATATTATCATTGCGTTATTATCATAAATATTGTACTTCACCATAGCACTTGTATTATAAATGTATCATTACTGAAAATTAGAAACTCGATGTACAAGAAAACCTATCCTAAACTAATAGACAAAACAACAAAAAACACCAAAAAAACAACCAAATAAGAAAATGTTACTACTCACGGGTATAAATGAATACCCGAGATCACTATGCTCGTCAAAAACTTCTATGTAATACAACCAATCACGTGTCGATTCGGATCTTTCATCCTATGACATGTTTGAGTGGCCAGAGGAAAGGAAAGCATGTGACTCACGATTAGATGCGGAAGGCGTTGTTATCGATGCTGTCAGTAGTCCAGAGGAAGTCATCGTGAGAGTTGTCATCAAGTTGAATCTAGCTAATATTATATTGGAAAATGAAGTTTATGAGAAATCTGTAACAATCATAACTTATTCTTAATAAAATTAATTAGAGTATGCAGAGATACTTACATTCTTGGCGTTTATAGTGCTATTAGATCCTGGCAAAAGGAAGCAAGTGGCAAAAAGTCTACAACGAAACATGAAATTAGTAAAAATGTAAATTAATTAAAATTTAATACAAAGTACTTACGTTTTTAACTTTTGCCAAAACCGCCAATCCTTTTAAAGAGTTGGAGGATTGAAAAATCTATAATAATACCAATATACGTATTATAATTCAAATTCAAACTCCAGACTCATTTGAAGAATAAATAATTTAATCATGGAAAATTATACTTTTAGATAATTAGATTATATAAAGGAGAATGAAATAGATTGAGAAGTAAAATATATACAAGTAAATACTTACATTCTTAACCTCCTGAAGAAGCTCGATCGTCTTGCGAAACTCTAATACTAAAACGAATATTGAAAAAAAAAAAAAAAAAAAAAAAAAATAAAAAGAAAAGACTATCAGCGCGCGTGTTTATATAAAAATCGGCGAACAAACACTGACTCTAATTTCACGAATGATCATTAGAACTGGTTTTAAGCTGAAGACTATGTCCTCAGAAATAATTAACACTATTACGAAGCAAACACTGACTCTATTAACCGCATTGCACGCGGTCACAAACATTCTCTAAAAATAAAACTTAAATAGTGGGGAACAGGAAAAAAGAAAATTTCTCTTCTTCTTTCTACAGAATGTTTGTTTCGAAAAATGTCTGTTAGTTTGAACTCGCAATATCACTACTATTCATTTTTTATTAAAAATCATCATGTTAAAAAATGGATTCTAAATGCAATACAACTAATTTGTATGAAATTAGGTTATGAAACGTTATCAAAATATAATTTCTTTAATTAGATAATGAACTACGATTACATTTACGTGAATATTTGAAGATGTTTACGATACTTAAAAAATTTTGTAAATACGTATCTAAAAGTAACAACATATTATGCAAAAAAAGAAAAACACCTTGTTTTTTTGTAACTCGAAACGTGTTTGAATATTTTTATTATTGAGTCTATCATGAACACAGCGAAATATTGTTAACATTGAATAATTTAAATATTCGTAATTGAAGAAAGATTTAAAAGTTACTTGTTTAAAACAAGGAAAATCTCAAAGAAGAAATAATTCTTTTGTATACCTACATCAGTCTCGACCAGTATAAATTGAATATTACCAACTCTGCACGAAAATCGAATCGAATTGACTGTTGATAATCATAACACTGCTAGTAAATTTCTACTGCTTCGATGTCATTTCTGCAGACAACTAATCGATCTACACGAAAAAGAAATCAACGATTCGAGACAAATGTATGAAAATACAACCAAGTATATTAAAATCAAGCTAAAATTGAACTCAAATCAGGAACTCACAATGTAAACTGTCAATAATTCTAACCGCCAAATAAAGCTTCCAACAGGGAAATGATTGTATAATTTCGACATAATAATGTCTAACGAATGATTATACAAACCTGGATTAATTAAATGATGCCAATTGTAGTCTCTGAACGATGACAAAATAGGGAAAATACTACGCAGTTGAGATAACGCACCTTGCATACAATAATACGAGGGTTTACTTTCCGATAAGAAAGTGACGTCGTGCGTAACACGTTAGATAGCCGCTTTCAGATTGGCTGATACAATGCGCTACCGTTTTTTGATTGGCTGGCGTTCTACAATTTTATTTCCAATCAGAATTATGCGCGGAACTGAAATACCGTACGCGGTAAATTGAAATATTATATGCGGCAATAAAATCAAACAATGAATTTATCTTACGCATTTTATTTAACAAAAAATACGTGTATAAGCAAGTTTTTTTAAAGAAAATTAAATGTTTTAGCAAATATAGTGATTTTGCAATATAAATAGATAGTATTGTTCAAAAAATATATGTGTTGATTTATCTTGAAAAAATTAAAATAATTAATAATTAGAGAAAATAATTAATGAGAATATTTTTTAAATACGAAATATAATTATATTTTTTTTATACAAAATTTTTATCTTCCGAATTATTGTGATATTTTGTTATTCAAATTTTCATGTTGTGATATTTTGTTATTCAAATTTTCATGTTGTTTTGTATCTTCTTCAAAAGATTTAAAACACAGTTAAAATATTTATTGCAATCAATTGAAAAAAATTTATTAAAAATATGAAATAGTAGGAAGTAAATAAATAGAACACAATAGAAGAATTAATAGCACTTTCTGGTCCTTTCAACGCGATTAGAATAATTTTACTTTAATTAACGGTGAAAGTACATTTGTCCACATGTCACGTACATGAGATATTTCCAATGAAATTTCATTAATACGTCTCTCGTGACAAAATGATTTTGAATTTCAATCAGTAAAATTATTTAACAGAAAGAATGATAAAGGGTGTGAGAAAGAGGAAATTGTACTCTGTTATTCACATGCTTTTATTAACAAATGCGAGGGAGATAATAAATAATCGTGTCGCGCAAATAATAAATAAGAAACAGCAACGTCCTGGCGTTCGTTAAAAAATGATGAACTTTCGAGCCAGCCTCGAGATTCGGCCTCTTCGAGTCATTGTCAATCGAGATTTGGTGATCATCTCTTTGTTCTATCAATTTTTACTGAATCGATTACCTTTTAACGCGTATACGTGTCATTGAACGAACAGTGTTAAAGTTCTATTTACTCGTCGAATATACGATCCATAAATTATCAATTTCTAATTTATCGTTTTCAATCTTGAAATTGTACAACGAGATAACAGAACTTTTCGCTCTGTATGGCAGAACCATCGACAGTCTTCGATCAACCGATCGTCTAGCGCAAACTAACTTCGATCGACGATCATCTAATTCAGTTCTGGTGGCTATTTGGCGTGCGTCTCTTTGGTCTCTCGATCGTACGATCGATCCGTCGTTAAGAACATGAGTTAATCAGGGAATGAATCGTGGCATCGGTCGGCAAACGACGCATATTTATAACCGTAATCTAGTAATTCGATGAGCTGCCAGGATTGATTGACGATGAGGAGGATGAGGAGGACGAAGAGGAGGAATACGAGTTCGATCCACTGCCTGGCGAGTAGTAAGAGTAAGCGAGATTCTGGGCTTCCACACCGTTGGTCGGCGTCCAGACGCGGGAATATGGACCATTTCCATCCCACGTGTTCGCCGGCTCGTAGCTCGACGTGGTCGAGGGCAAAGGTGGAGCTCCGTATGCTGGTGCAGCTGGTTCCATTGACATTCCTGCAACAGAAAGTTTTGCTGTTTTTACTTTCTCATCAGGCGAAAAAGTCCTTCGTCGCGTATTATATATAATATTATATTAAATTTTCTTTCGGCTGATATCTAACATTTAGATCAAACAGCTTTCTCAGAATTATTACATTATGTCCGTAATACATACCCATTGGCATCGCCATTCCACTCTTCTTGAAGAACTGCACAGCGATAAATCCAACGACCAGAAGGACCGCGAGTTTCGAGAGTACTAGAGCCTTCAACGCCTTCAGTCCAATGATAGCAACGAAGATTGGCATCAAAGCTTTCAGTTTCAGTTTTAACAACAGCAGGAAAGGCAACAGCAGCTTCTTCTTCAAGAGTCCTCTGGCTTGGCTGGTAGCAACTTCGTTTCCTTTGAATTCGATGTCCAAGTCAGCTAAACTTCTGCTGGGTCTGTACTTGAGACTAGCGTCCACGAAGGGTAAATCAATTCCATAATCGAAGCTCTTCAGGTACTTGAAGGTCCTGGCAACGATAGCTTCGTCCACGGTATCCAAGGACCTGGCTTCCGTGCTGGTTCCGAGCTTTCCATCCAAGTATCCAAGCACCTCGTGTTTCAGGCAAGATATCCAGGAGTCCGCGGCGATGCACTCGTTCAGAGACTTGGAGAGGAATTCTTGACTGGCCAGGCAGCTTCCTGCCATCAACACAATCGCTGCTGTTGCTACGAAAGTCCTCATCTTGATCCTCGGATTATCCCTGCGATTAATTATCCCAAAGTGGTATCTGGCAACACGATTCGTACACTCTGTTTCTCGATGAAAACGCGAAACGATCGATCGTCCACCCGTGTGCGAGCGATCGCCGATCGAACTGCGACTGACAGAGGAGTGGCCCGCCCCTTTTATTTAATTTGCCCCCCGCGAATCTATGTTATTCGGTCGCGCATGCCGGGAATCGACGATCGAAGGAAAATTATTCAAATTTCACTGGCACATAGAGCGACTTCTCCTCTACGCCCTTCCCTCTCCTCGTGAAGTACGTGCGTGCACGCGTCCCGACGCGTATACGTATGTAGCGTCGCGTACCGCGTACACGATGGCATGCGCGACGCCGCGCCACACGGGAAACGGAACTTGTCCCGCGTTCACCGACGATTCGTGCTCTCCTCAACTTGGACGTCGTTTCTAACGCCCCACTCGCTTCTAACGCATTCGCGAGCGATCTCTATACCTTCTACGATCTGTAAGGAACAAACGTTTTGGCCAATGGATAACCGTTCTCGTTGTACGTCGACAGGTGGCCGGTGAATGGGGACGCTTAGCTTCCACCGACGATTTTTGGCCGTTTGACGCGCTCATATAAGGATCGATAGAATGTTTGCTGAGTTTTAATATATTGTGCTCTTTTAACGAGTTGGTATGTAGGTTTCTTGGCTAGTGTTACTGTTGTAGGATATCTCATAAGATAAACTGATAAGATAATTTGAACTACTTACGTACACCTTATGGGGAATTTTCGATTGTACATGAAAGAAGATTATTTTTAAGATTCTTTAATTTCGAACAAAAAAATCCAGTCTCATAAATCATTTGGAGATGCTCCTACGGTCATTCATTCAATACGCAGCAAATAAAAAATCGAAACTTTAATATCGTTTACAGAAAAATGCATATAACTTTAAAATACCACGAATCGCTGAGATAAATATTGCACGCCCCAATATGAAAATTGCATATCGTTTCCTTCGATAACAACCTGCTCTCGAGGCCTGAAGCAGTTTCGAGTAAACGAGTGGGATACTTTTAAATCACCGACAATGTTTCCATCAATTCGTGTATATAATGATTAAATGTTTGTCGGCGATTTCAACGTGTCAAACGAAAGTCGATGTAAGACAACCCGTGTAAGATGTATCAGAAATAATAACAATAAAAAGGAAAGTATAAACTGCAGGAGGGTCACTGCGAGGATTAAACTGGCTTTCCATTTTACGGAAACACGTTCACGAGAAACAAAGCGGTGCGTGGTTTCCAGGCCGCGCGCAGTAGCCGCGTCTGATTATTATCGGGCATAATCTCCTTGCAGAACCGGACTGCATCTGCGTCCAGAACTAGATTCTACTTGAAGACAATTTTACACGCGTTTTTATAATTAAACGTTGGCAAGGACGGATCGCTTCAATTAGGAAGGAGGCTGCGTGACGTTAACAGATGCCATTCATGCCGTTAAACTATGAAATAACCTGCATCGTTAATGCGTCATTTACATTTATGATAAGCTTCGCTTGAAATGGTTTTATCGCGAAGAAAGATCTGATTTGTTGCGTGTTAAAGGAGACATGCTATCCTTGAATAACGTCCTTTAATGAATCTAAGAATTTCCTTTAATGAAGCTTCTACAAGTCGATATCGTTTCAGCCTCGTAATTAGGTTGCCCGACTATCAGGATAATGATAGTAATAATATATTCTTATTTCATCGAAGATATATGAGGCACTAGAAATAAAGACATAACTGTAACGTGACGCGAAAATCTACGACTACATGTTATGATATTGTTAATCCAAGTTATCACCTTCAGCAGATTATCTCGTAGATTGTCACTAGTCACTATGAAGAACCTGCTTTGTTTTTTACTTCAGACTCACCTAGCTAATTTTCATCGAAAAACTGCCCCCTTTCAGCTTCTATAAATCATTTTCTCCACGAGAGTTTGTTCTGTTATTACTCATTATCAACGCGTACTTGAAATATATACACTTCGCGAGGATTATCGAGCTACCATCAGCAGTCAAATCACGAGTCATGGGAATCCACGCGAGGAGGAAGTCAGACAGACGGAGTAAATTGCAATAATAATTTATTAAATAAAGAATACAGGAGGAGAGATGGAAGACAGGTATTTTACAAAAGTCGCGGCAGTAAACGAGATGCGCGGACGAGTGCTTTACGATTGCGCGTGTCCGGAATATGCGAGATCTTGCGCAAACAACGCGGACGGCTGTTCGTCGTCCTGGAGGGATCTGTATTGAGCCTGGTACTCCCACGGGCCGTGAGAGGCCAACGCTGCTCCGTGACTGTCCGCTGCGATTTTCTTACACAGCTGGAAGATAGCCATGCCGACGGAGACGATAAAACTGAAGAACGAAAGTTGAAGAGCGTTCCAAGCTTTGAGGCCGAGGACGCCGATGGCCAGGGGGATGAGAGTCATGGCCTTGAGCAGGACGAACACTAGGATGGGGATGACGACCTTCTTCAGCTTGGACTTGCGAGCCTCTTCGACGGCACGACCCTGGCCGAACTTGACGTCAAAGGTGAGCTGATCGTCGTCGATGTTCCTGGCGCTCACCTTCACCGACGAGTCCATCGGCAGCTTGAAGGTCACGTCGTGAGAGGTCAAATAGGTCTGCACGTTGTCCAGGAAGGAACCTTCGCTACGAGCAGACACTTCTTCCACGGGGTAAGAGTTGCGAGTTACCTCCACGGTTTCAGAGACCTGCGCATGACAAAGGGGAAAGTGAATTTACATCGAATACCGGCTTACGACCACGCAACTCGCCTTTTCGTTCTCTAAAACTTTCATACCGTAAAAAATGGCCAGATCACCAGATCACAGTGATAACTGGTAATCGCGGCCGAGGTAGTAAAAGTGAAGTGAAAATAGAACGGCGTAAAATTGCTTGCGTAACCGGATTGAAACGGGTTAGTCGACACTTGCCTTGAAGCTGTCTTTGCGGAAGACCTGGTCGAGAAGGTTCAGAACCTTGAATTTCATGCAGGAGACCTCGTCGTTCTTCTGCGCGCACTCGATCTTTGTCTGATCCACCATCTGGTCCATGCTGCTACCCTTCCAGAGGTCGTTTTTCGCGGGCTGAGCGGCCGCCAAGGCCAATAGCGAGCACAACACCAACAGCTTCATGGTTTCCCTGATGTGTAGCCGTGATACCCCGAAGAAGGTCTTGAGGACGATCGCTGGGAACGACGATTCTACGACGACTGATGCCAATGGGTTGGGCACCAGACTATTTATACGGAGCCCCCGTCGTCAAATCGTCGAACATTCGTCGCGTAGCGGAGCACGCGACACACACGACGCCCCCACTTCCACCCGGCTACGAATTTTCTTTTCGTTCAGTATGGTGTTCGATTATCGAGGCCTCGACGCGATCGTGACAGGAATATGCAACTGTGCAGGATCAACAAAGCCGAAAGAAAGCTCCCTCGCGACCGATATCAATACGAGAGAGTCGCGTTAAAGACTGTGTTATCAAAGCAACGCGTGTTACACTGTTTCCTTTTGCTTAAGCTACGGTTAGCTGCAGATGTTCTGTGCGATCTATTCAAAATTCTACGATCGAATTTCATACTGACAGGTAGAGATTGAGAGAAACGAGAAATGAGAAGGTAATTAAATCTAATCAATAAATGCATCGTATCTATGATCGTGCTATACATTTTTCGAAACTTCCACTTTCGACATAGGTGTCATGCAGATGTGGTTGATATTACTCTACGTCAGAATCGAGGGTTCGCCTGACATTCATACCAAATTCGTCAAAATATCTATCATTTCATTAACCTCGATCATGTATCGATAAAAAAATCCACTCACGCAATAAACCGGGCGAAACTTTCGAATATTTGGCCTGCCATCGTGCAGCATCGTTTCAAGTACTAAAGCGGAAGTGCTTGGCGTACGCGAGCTAGTAAAAGCAGAAGACCCTTCATCCTTGGCACCAATGGCACCGTAACATTGGTATTGAATCGATCGTTCATTCACGCCACGAGCACGGCACTTTCCACACGTCTGTTCTCGCTAATACTTGCGT